TATTTTCACATCTCTCCTAGGAATTAGGAATCATTTCTATCATCATTTTTTAAGTGAGAAAACATAGGTACATAAAAGTTAAGTGACTGACTTAATGTCACTCAAATCCTAATGGTGGGATTGTGATACAATTTATAACCTGATTCCTGTCTTTCTACCACTTTTATTGCCTACGGTATACCATATAATCCTACTCTGGGGCAGACAGGGTTGAATAATTATGTCTGTAATCTTAAGTGTGATAATTTCTTAGAACAGTTTAGAATAAAGTATTTTTCATTCATTATAAAAGTAAAAGTAAAAAAGTTTTATGTAGCATTCATTTATTTAATAATCTCTACTAACCAGTTGCTAACTATGACATAATCCCATAGTGCCTTTGGAACCCTCAAAGACTGATAATAAGTTTTTCTGAGAAGTAACTAGATCAAATGATCAACAAAATGGCTGAAAAAGTTTTCTTAAAATCATCCTAATTTTCCCCCTATAATTGCTGAAAGTTTTACTTTTCAAAAGCATAAATAAAACACACAAAAAAACCCCTTACAGTCTGAATTACTGAAATGGAGAAAAAATTAGGCTTTCCCTAAAATTTTAAGAATCATTTTGGAAGTAAGAAGAATATTATCCCTAAAATGAATCAGTTTTCATATATATTCTGTTATCTTTAAATTCTTAGAGAGTAATGGGACTAAAGACATCCTAACCTAAGAGGTCTTATACTATATAGCTGGATCTCCTTGAAAAAAGTATTTAATTTAATAAGAGTGTAATTTATATTCTTATTTAATAAGAATGTTAGGCTAGATTAGTGGTGTTTAATTGGGAATGTATATGAAATTCCTGGAGAGTTTTTTGTTCACAATAAACCTGCCTGAAGCCCATCCCTGGATACTCTGAGATGCCCACGGGATGGGAGGATATAGTGGACGGGGAGTTAGACGGGTGAGGCACGTGTATTTAAAAAGAGTACAGGGGTGGGGGTGGGCATGTAGTTGAAATGGGTTAAAATGTTTTTCTTTTTCTTTTTGTTTATTCTGCCATATATAGATTCCTAGGGTTAAAATTTTTGAAATTGGTGATAAGTACATGGGGTTTCATTATACCATTCTATTTTTATAGGCAAAAAAGCTTTCCAAACGATTCTAACTTACCCTTCGTAGAGCAGTGCTTCTTAAACTTGAATGTCTCGAACAAGTCACCTGGGGATCTCATTAAACGCACATTCTGATTTAGTAGGTCAGGGACGCCTGAGAGTGAAATGCTAACAAGTTTGCAGGTGATGCTGATATTGCTGGGCTTGGACCACATTTGAGTACCAAGGCATTAGAAAACCACGGGACTAGCTGAGCATACCCTACTCCCTAAGCAGGTATTAGGATGGAGTTTCTTGGCCATCATTTAGTTAGTAAAATATAAAGCAAATCACGTTATTGTTATTATTAATATATAAAAATGGATAAGAAAGAATATTCATTATCATGCTTGAAAAACACTGCTCAAATAGTCAGTTAAGCTCATCTATGAAAAAAAGTGCCTAGAAGATTATGATGTAAGCCAAGACTTAAGACAATTTAAATAATATGTGCTATCCAACAGATCTAGTGTTTACATATTAAGAAGAGCTTTGTACCAGAACTGTACTGTCATGTTTCTTCCCAGAGGCTGTCATGATAAAGTTTATTATCAATTACTGCTTTACAAGTATAAAATAAGTTAAGTTGTCATAATTTTCTCAGCCAGAGTTCCTAAACTGTCAGAGAATGCCAATTTTTAAACTGGCATAGAGAAGAAAATTATCTGTTATTCCGACCTCTAATTTCTTGACATTTTAATGCCATAATTGCTGTGGTTAGTGCTGCTTCATGATTTCACCTGTCAAGGAATAATGAATCAATAACCTTAAGCCATTTCTCAAATTTTAGCACTAACTTCAAAGCTCGAAGTTATAGGCAGATTGTTTTGACAAAGGGGACATATGTAGATATTCACATATTAACTATTTCTCTTTTTAAATCAGTGTTTCATTTAAGCATTAAAAAGAATCCATCTTCCTAAGCCTGGCTGGAGTTTAGTATAACTATAATTAGCCTTCTTTTGGTTTTATCTACGTGAAATGTGCAATCTCCATATTTTAAAAATAGCAAGATAAACATTATCAAATAAAAGGAATGTACTCAGCTCAATAAAAGGATTAATATTTTAAACTCTGCTTTTTCCAAAAGCCTGTGTATGACTATTTAGGTGGGCTTCAATTCTCTCAAGTCAAGATGCAGCAGTGCAGACCTCCAGGAAGTCAACACGGACATGTTAAGAAAAAGGTATTGTGCCTCCCAGACGGTCTACTTGTAGGGGTTTTATGTACGGGTAAGGGTGCATAAATGACCACCACATAATGACTATGCTGTACTTCTTTCACTTACCTACAGGTTCTTTCTTGTGACAGTATATGCCAAGTGCTTTTATGTCAGGGAACATATGTTATGCCTTATTCCGCCTTTATAAACAGAGCAATTGAAGTAAAGTGAGATCAACTTGGCTACATTTACCTAGCTCACAGGATTCAGGTGGGTTCTCACCCGTTGGAGGGCACTATTCTTCAAGTTCTTAAAGGTTAGTGCAAAACTTTTTTTGTGGGAATATTAGGTTCTAATTGGCCAATTGGCATTAACATTAGTGGGAATATGTTAGGGGGGTAATGGTGGGGAGTGGGAGAGGGGAAATTAACCAGTATTCCTTGAAATCATTTAATCATTTAATGTCTACACTGCACTGAATGGCCCCCTAGTGGTCACAAGGAGATAAAGTGTCTTCCTAAGCAAACTCGAGTCCACACAGGTCCACACGGTCAGGGTAAACGTCTCTGCCAATGTGTGCTCAGGCCTATGCTGGCTGGGGAAAGGGAGGTAATAGTATTCCAGATATGCCTCTCACATCTAGTATTCTAAGAACTGATTTAGAATTGTTGAGTTGGCAGGTGAGTGAAGAGTTTGGCGATAAAGAACATAAATATCACTGTATGATTCTGGGAGTCCCTCTAATGGAACCTGAGTGTCTGGCAATTATGTGCTCAGAATGAGAATGCTGGAAGGAGACAGAGTCTTCATCTAAGGCGCCCTAGCATCACACAGTGTGCATCGCTATGAGTAATAAGGAGCTGTAATGTATCGGTCAGGCCATCTATATTACACGCAGACACATGCTTGAACCATGACCACTCAACAACAACGAAAATTTAACCATACATTTTCCTGTAGTGTTTCATTAGGAAGTTTTACAGTTTGCCAGTAAGGCCTATACACATTTGTTTTTGTTCACTGTCCAAAGCAATGCTGTGATATTTTGTAGAAACAGGTATTTTTATAAGATTCAAATAAAAAATACTGTATATAAAGAAAGTGCCATTTCTAATTCCATTTCCTTTTTACTCTTTCATTTATCTTTTTTACCCTCATTTAAATATGAAAAAACTGCTATTTTTTCTGTCAATTTTAATGCTGCCTTGCACTTTCATCCTGTATAAAATGCTTAATGTATTTTTATTTTGCAGGATTAACTTGCAACTTTATAAGAACAGGACTTTATTATAGTGGATTAAAAATGTATAATAAAACATCCAGGAACAAAAATGTGTATCATATTTAAAAGTCAAAAAACAATTTGCAGTTGATCTTGAAATATAAGTATTTTCTTTTTTCTGATTCTAAAAGGTATTGGTTCTGAAAGAAAATTTTAGTTTATATGGAATTTATAGATCAGGCATGTGTTAAGCAAAGGTGTATAGTTAAGAGAATAATCAAGCTGAGAAATATCTCCTACCAAACAAGCTCAGCATAGTTTATACACAACTGGAGATACTAAGTTGGGTGAGTGTAATGGTTTGTAGAGAAAATCCCTTATTTCACCAACCGATTTCATAATACCTGGCTTCTGATTCATTCATTCTGTCTCTATATTTTTCTCTGGGCTTCAGGCAATAATTTTATTTCCTTGTGCATACAATATGGTACAATGTTGCCCCTAATAACATGCTTGCAATGTGTTCTCAGAATATTTAGCCCTAAGGGTCCAATGATCAATGACCATGAGGCGCTTCCCTTCCCTTTCTTCTTCTCTGCTTGAAGCCATACAAATGGAGTCATTTTAGTTTTATAGAGATATATAAGAAATAACTTTAAGGATGTAAATTTTTTAATAGAGCTTCATTTCTCAAATCTACAAGTTTTCCACCTCTAAAATTAAAAATAATAAAATAAGAAAAACATTCCCCTGCCTGGAAATGTGGAAGTGATCATTTGTTTTGCACACAGCAGATGGCAGCTATCTGGTAGAATGGAAGACTTGGATATAGATTCCTAGCAGCAATGCTTCTGTAACAGCTGTTGCATCTTCACTTTTTCCACCTATCCGAAATCATTTTGTGCAGTGTGGAAGTGATTTAAATAATATTAAATGAGTATTTTCACTAAAAATACTATACACATAGTACATAGTACATAATTCCCAACTGTTGGCTATAAACATTTCAGGTTGAAAACATATGGGAATAAAATAGCATAAACATCCACTTCATTGATTTATTTTTTTGAGCATTCTGTCTAGAGGGTAGCAATTTTGCTTTTATTTTTAAGAATACCCACGCTGGCAGATTATTTTAATGTGAACTATTCATATTCAAATATTCAACTAGGTTTCATTCATTAATAACACACATAATGCAGGCATTAAACACTTTAATGAAGATTCTGAAGTAAGAAAAAGAAAATAGAGGTATGGAAGTGCATTGAAAATGTCTGCAATTCACAAAGGAACAGCATACTGGTCTCATTACTTGATTACTTGTTTTTGACATATATTCACTTTTCCACACTTGTCAAGAACCTGAAACTGATGTGTTGTAAAAAGTTATGTTGAAAGGAAATGTATACAGAAGGAGATAGAAAGTCAAATTTGTGTTTGAGAGATGACAGAAATTTTTGGAATAATGTGAGACTTAACACCTACCTCCCTGAGCACAGGGTCAGTGATACTATCCAGGTTCACAGAGCCTTCATAGGTCAAGTAGTGAAAAACATTCAGAGCACGGACTGCTTCCGGTCCTCGCTGCTTGTAGCCAAATATAAGGTCAATCCACTGATGAAGTTGGCAAGAAACGAATTCACTTTCCAGTGCCTGAAATGAGTCAAGAAAGAAATGACAGACTGTCCAAACTTAGCAAAGCTCTTTTTTTACTTTGAAATATTCTGTGTAAATAAAGAGAATATGTTCTTTACATTCCTATATTTGACCTATATGTATCAGATTTTCAGTTCCTAGAAATGGCAAAATGCTATCTTTAATAAAACATAGATCTAAATGAAAATTTTCTAACATGCTAAACTTTCTCTTGGCTCAATTATGTATACAACATGGATTTTATTATTTTTTTTAGAGATAGAGTCCCCATTTGTTGCCCAGGCTGGAGTGCAGTAGTACAATCACAGCTCACTGTAACCTCAAACTCCTGACCTCAAGTGATCCTCCTACCTCAGCCTCCCAAAATGTTGGGATTATGGTCATGAGCCACTGCACTTGCCCTATGAATTTTAACATTAAATAAATTTCTTACAAAAACACACTCATGTTTAAAAGGAAAACAATTCAAAATACCTGTTTTAATAACTTTTACAACAAATTCATCTCTAATTTTTAGACATTACTTTGAAATTAAATAATCTTATAAGAAACTTTGATATACATTGATTTTCCTGCCTGAAGTCCTCCGGCTTACCTCTAAGATGACTAGAAAGCAATGCTTTCCTTCTGCTATGAATTAACTCAGCTGTTATCCAGTTTGGGAATCACTGGACAATTCTGGATGTTTGCTAACTAGTGGGAAGCAAATGTAAACCATTGAGAGCCAATGACCACACTAAGCTTCCATAAACACTCAGAAAAAAAGGAGGCCTTTTTGTTTCCTAAGAAGGTTCCCAGAGGTATTCTGTGGTCTTGTTCCAGCCAGTGAGAAAGGCAGTGATGGTGCACGGCTCGCTGTGCCTCTCACTGACTGTGATCATTTAGCATCAGCTTCTCATTGATTTAAAGAGGATTTCAACAACATGAACACAAAGCCGTACATCTAGCTTCCTAAATTTCAGCTATGCATAGCCACGTGAGACACTTCTGTAAATTACAGCTGTCACTGAATACGTGAATGCAGCCGTTCTCTGGCTGCATGTCCCTGATTTCTAAGGTGTTGAAACGCATTTGGAATTCACTTAATTAACAAATGACTTCTTAAATTAGCTCTCTGAAAATTGCATTCCATCTCTTAAATATACAAAATGTTCTGAATAATACTTTTCAATTTTTCCTGTAATCGCATTTAACTAGTAATTTATTCACCTCAACCCTTTTCCTGATTACTCCTTTCAAAATTTTTCATTAGTATTTTATTTACACCAATTAGTGTGGCTGTTTCTCATTTAGATATGTAAACAAGGAGACTTTATGAAAGGACAGAGTTTCTGTACTAAAACTAAACAGAATTCTATACTCTGTATCTCACTGATCTTGAAATAACAGTTCAGACTAGAACATAGGAAATAAGACAAAGTATAAAACAGGAGATGGTTAAAATTCTATATTAGTTATGTCTATAATATCAGTTTGGTCAATTTGTATGAATGATTTTGTCAATGCAGTATAACTAGTCAATTAAAAAAAGCCATTCTAATTATTCAGTAATATTTTCAGTGCTTGCTGCAATAAATGAAAGGATTTATAAAATGAATGCATGGAAGTTCACCATCGAGTAGCTATTGCCCAAGTCTAGTTACCCAAGTCTAGGAATTCACAACAGTTGTGGAATCAGATACAATATTTAAAGGAAGATTTTACCAACATGATCGGTTAAGTGGCATCCATTTCAAATAAATCTTACAGATACTGCCGAAGGAAGGACGGATGACATTTACTACTATTCTGTTAAAGTAAAACCATTATTGAATAAAACGCCTAATGTAATCACGAGGGGTGGAGGGAATGATGACTTTTCACTACTTCGAGTTGTTAAAACGTATTTATTCTCTTTCATATACATCCCCTATTTTCTTTTTTTTTTTTTGAGACAGAGTCTCACTCTGTTGCCCGGGCTAGAGTGAGTGCCATGGCATCAGCCTAGCTCACAGCAACCTCAAACTCCTGGGCTCAGGCGATCCTACTGCCTCAGCCTCCCTAGTAGCTGGGACTACAGGCATGCGCCACCATGCCTGGCTAATTTTTTCTATATATTTTTAGTTGTCCAATTAATTTCTTTTTATTTTTAGTAGAGACGGGGTCTCGCTCTTGCTCAGGCTGGTTTCGAACTCCTGAGCTCAAACAATCCACCCGCCTCGGCCTCCCAGAGAGCTAGGATTACAGGCGTGAGCCACCGCGCCCGGCCTACATCCCCTATTTTCATTTTCCTCCTCTACCATAGGCAATGACTATAATGGGTTTAATGTTTCTCCTTTTGTTTGTGTGTGCTCTTATAAAATATCACTCATTCTTTTGTGTATGTATTTTTGATCTATAAAAATGGTATAGGGTCACAGATTTCATTTTGTTCCTTACTTTTTTCACTTTTCATTGTTTCTAAGATCTACCTATGCCACTGTGTGTGGCTAGTGCTAGTCCATCGCTTCTCCCCCCGGAAGGAGCGCCAGGCTGCCTCTAACTCCCCGCAACACAAGGCTGTGATAAAAGCCCCTTCGTGCATCATTTCTTTAAATCTTTGTGAGAATTTATTTGAGATTTACGATCTGGAGTAGAACTGGTGTGTCATTCCACTGGGAGTGCACATACTTAATCCGAGTCATCAGTGCCCAGCTGCTCAGAATGACTGCCCTGTTGTCACTCCCTCCAGCAAGGCATGCAGGGGTCTGTATGTCCCCAACCCCATCAACTCTTGGTATTATCCGGGGTTTCTAATTTTGGTCAATGTAATAGATACAAAATAATATCCCGTTGTTTTAATTTGTATTCCTCTATTATCAAATTTGACATTTTTTGAATATGTTTGTTTGGCTTTTGGGTTTGCTCTTTTGTAAATTTCCTTTTCACACCTTTTGTCCGTTAGTTTTTAATGGAGGCTCTTATCTTTATATTGTTGATTTGCAAGTCCTTTAAATATTTTACATAATAGTTCCTTGTTGGTTTAAAACAGTGTAAATGCATTCTCCCAAATGTCTATTAACCTTCTCCACGTTTTTTGTTGTGTAGAAATTTGTAATTTTCAGATAATCAAATCATTTTTAAATGTTTATGCTCTTGGGGTTTTATTTTGAAGTTACAAAGATGACATTTTATATTTTGATCAATCAGCTTTATGTTTATGGTTTTACTTTTCATAGTTTGGTCTTTAATCCATCTAGATGTACTTTCATTCATATGTGGTTTAGATAAGGGTCAAGTATTATACTTGTTTATATAATGAGTCAGCTTTTCCAATACCATCTATTAAACAAAATTTTGTTTCCTCAGTGATGTGTGGTGTCATCTTTACTGTGTTAATATATATTTGAAACAAAGATATAAAACTATCATTATTTACAGATAATATAACAATCTATCTAGAAAAATCCAAGGTCCATCTGTCTGTATGTCCATCCTTTCCTCCCTCTCTCCTTCCTTCCTATTTCTTTTTTTTCACTCTCTTGTCTAGGTATCCATCTATCATATATCTATCTAGATATGTGATGTCCAGCTTTCTACGCTTCTTATTTCTATTGTTACCTTAATTTATCTTAGTTATCTTTAATTCCTATATGTCTCAATACCTGGTAGAATTTATTCTTCTCTTTCAGGATTAACTAGGCTATTCATGCACATTTATTCTTCCTTATAACTTTTACAATAAATATATCAAAATAATTTGATTGGAATTCCAATCAATTTATAAATAAGTTTGGGAAGACTGACATTAGGTTTTCCCATCTAAGGTCCCCAGATGTCTCTTTATTTATAAAGATCATTTTCTATGTCCTTTATTAGAGTTAAAGGTTAAAATTTTCTCCACAAAAATTTTATTATTGGTATTCTTGGTTAAGTTTATTCCCAGGTACCTCATAAATTTTGATGTAATTGTAACATTTTAAAAATTAGATTTTATGCTTGGTTATTAATGATGTAGAATAATGCTACTTATTTCTAGAAGTTGATTGTGTTTCTGGGAACTCTTGGTTAGACTTATATAATAACTTCTTTACTTTTTCTATAGAATTGTTCTCAGCCTTAAGAACTATGTAAAGCAGCAGTGGTGATATGGTACACCCTTGTCTTATTCCTGACCTTAAAGGGTTAAGCCCCACTTAGTTCTGATGCAATACAAACACACACACACACACACACACACACACACACACACACACACACACACACCCCACTCCCTGTCTCTCACATTTAAGAAAATGATGGTAGTTCACCATCGAGTAGCTATTGCCCAAGTCTAG